GGTCACCCCCTATTTAGTTTGGTTGGAAAAATCAAATGGAGACTTCTTTCTAAAACCTGTTTCATGCAATGCAGGCAAATTTGTCCTCATTTTTGTTACCTGTGTCTTCATCTGTAATCAGCCAGTGAAGTCCTGCAGCCTACATCTGCAATTTGTTGCTCTCTCCTAGTTTGCACAACACTGAACCATCTCATTTTGAAATTCAAGAGTGGCAGAGGAAGTCTTTAGTAGAGGATAGTAATTTGGGAGAAGGGAAAATCAAGAGCAAGATCACCTGTTTTGAAGAGGGCTGATGTTGAAGGAAATTGCTTTGGTTAGTCAGACTCTGAGCCTCTCAGTGGATGTGCTGCTGTGACCTGCCCCTCCATCACCAGTGACCTAAAAATCAAATAATTCCAACCATTCATGAAACTTATTCCCATCTGTGGTGCATCGCTTGTACACTTACCCCCTCTATTGTCAGCAAAAGTGTCTAAATCTTTTCACCTAGCAGGCAGTGGACTGGTTTTCTTGCTTTTTTTCTGGCTGCTTCTGTGATTGTCAAATTAATACCTTCAAGCACTTTTCCAGATCTGTTTCTTACCTGTGTGGCTTCTTAGCCTCTCTAGTCCAATACTGTTTAGTCCAGGCAGATTTTTCTCTCTGTGTTCTTAAGGGCTCTGGCTAGGCCTAGGAATTAAATTGACCCTAAATAGATAAGTAAGAAAGAAGTGTACATATTTTTGCAGGTATGTTGATCCCACCTCGAAGGAAAATAACCTCAAAATGACACAATGTAAATTCTTATTAAAAAGATTGAATTGGAATGGCCTTATGTAGAAAAGTAGCGAAAATGTGTGGGTAGGCCAGAGGAAGGGAAGGATTATTTCAGGGAGATGGGTCAGTGCCCCATGGCTTCTAATAGGAAGATGTCCTCTCTCCTTCCTTGGGGTTTCTCTCTTTTGTGGATCCTGGTGGAGATGCTGCCTTTTTCCTGGTGCAGCAAAGGCAGAGTGTTCCTTTTGTTTCTATTCTTTTTTAAGTGACCTTAACTTAAAATAATCCTTAGAACAAGGGGCATTTTTTTTTCTGGTGGCATATTCTGTCACTCTTCATTTGCAAAATGCTTTCCTTGAATAATATGAAGTGTAGTTAGTTGTCTTATTATCAGAAAGTACTACAGGTGGGGTTTCCCTTGGGAACCACTAGCCTATACCATTATAAACTAATGGATCAATAGGCTTTGAAATTGCTGTTCATTGATCCCAAAAAACTATTTGATGAAATGTACATATTTCCTCCCTGTATTGTAGCAATTCTGTCCAAGTTTCTTTAGGGAAATTCTTAAATACCACTACTTGATTGATGGTAGGTGTGTGTGTGTGTGTGTGTGTGTGTATGTGCGCGCGCGCGTGTACATACTTATAAAATCACTGTATAACTGTTCTGAACATTGATAGGTTGTTAATTTACTTTAGTAAATCTTTGTGTGTTTGATTTTTTTCCCACTCAAGAGTTGGTGATTAAACCCAGTAGTGCTGTACCACTGAGCTATACCCCCCAGCCCTTTTCACTTTTTATTTAGAGACAGGGTCTCAATAAGTTACTGAGGCTGGCCTCAACCTTGTGATCCTCCTGCCTTAAGTTGCTCAAGTTGCTACTATCATAGGTGTGTGCCATGGTGCCTGGTTTATCTTTTGAGTTTTATTGCTTATATGGACAGTTTTTTGGTCATTTTTTCCCACTGAGACAGTCAAAGGAAACAAATGATTATTTTACTATATACCTCAAAAGCAGTCAATAACTGTTTAGAGACTCGGAGTGAACAAATGATGGGATGGCCTGGTTTATGCAGGAATTGTTCCAAAGTACTAATATTGTCTGTTCAGTAACTTATAAATGGGTATGTATCTTTTAAAAATTAAGATAATCTCTACTCTTTGAAAATACAAGCCTCTTAACTATTAAAAATCCTTTCATGACTATTCATTTTTTTTTTGTATCTCTCAAGTCACCACCTCTATATAAACACTAATCTCCCCCTCTCCAGAGTGGGAAAAATCTCAATACTAATTGAAACTAAGATGATTCTACTGCTGTTGCTGAGATGTTGGCAGGTCTCTTACAAGCTAATGTCATGGCATGGGATCCATTTGCTCTGTGTAGCTATTTTGCAGGGCAGTAAGCATGCCGTGATTAATATGCTATGTGAAAAAAATGAATTTGGAAAAAATAATAATATAATCTCAAATATTAATTCACATTTGTATGAATTGCTCATAATTTTCAATATACTTTTAAGGCACCTTTAGTATGATAAAAGATTTGATCTCTAATGAGATGGGCATAATGTTTTAAAAAGCACAGTTGATACCTTATTAAATATTGTGTGTGTGTGTGTGTGTGTGTGTGTGTGTGTGTGTGTTTCGGTTCCCGGGGATTGAACTCAGGGGCACTTGACCACTGACCCACATCCCTAGCCCTGTTTTGTATTTTATTTAGAGACAGGATTTCACTGAGTTTCTGAGGAACTCACTAAGTTGCTGAGGCTGGCTTTGAACTCTCTATCCTCTGCCTCAGCCTCTCAAGCTGCAGGGATTACAGGTGTGCATGACCACACTAACTTATTATTTGTTTATTAATCTGTTATGCTACAAGAAAAAGATTCAGGACAGTAGGTGGGTTGATGATAATGAAAAGAAGGTTTTTCCCCGCCCCCCCTTTTTAAAACCCTGTAGGTAGTTTTTGTATTTTCTTTAGAACTAGTCCAATTTAATTGTATTATAAATGAGCAACTCACAATGTAACTCGCCTGCCTCCTTCTGTTGTTGTTATTCCTCAGTATCTTTTCATGAGAGGTTACTCTTTTGTTTAAATGTGAGATTAAACACAGAAAATATTTTGAGCTAAGCAGGTGTTTAACATAACTTATTTGGGTAGTAGATGCTGGACAAAGGAATTCTATTTAGCAGACATTAATTGAATATTTTCATGTGTTAGGTATAGTGTGCAAGATCTGAGACTATGCAGTCAGTGACCATTGCACTTGCATTGATTGCAGCTTGTCCTCTGAAACATTGCTCACTACATTCACATTGCCTCAGGACAGCTACCTCTCAAATAGCATAGGACAGATCATCTAACAGCTAGAGGTTAGACCCAAAGCCACTCACTTGCCTTAGTGCACGTTTTAATTTTATTTCTTACCCCCACATATAGGCCTTTCCTCCTTTCTGGGGTTTCTTGATATTTGCATATTGCATTATATTTTTATCACATGTTCATCTCAACATCCTTACTTTTCCATCTTCTTTGCAAAATGTAAATGACAATATACAGTGCCTACTGGCACTATCAAGCTTTCATAGCTTGCTTTGGTGTATTATAAGCAGTTTAGCATTTTTTAAAATCACTATTATATTTTAACTTTATTGTGCTTAATCACTACTGTACTTTATAGGTTTGGATGTTTTAACTAGTCTTGTTTACTTATGCATTAAATAAGTATATATTGACCACCAATTATTTTACCTGGCTTATGTAAAACACTTATTTGATGAAACACTGAGATTGCTGAGGTCCACTGCTTACTTCCTGCCACTTTTAACCTTTTTTTCAGACAGATTATGCTATCAGCTGCTTCAAGGCCTTTGCCCAAGTTGACTGTGCTCAGCCTTTCAGACTAGGTCGTCTTGTTGACCCTAACCCTCTGCCCTGGTCTAGATCATTTTCCCCAGTTTTAATACCTTTTGCCTTTCCTTTTGAGTTATCATTACAGTTTGCAGTGATATATTTAGTATGTGGGTATTAAATTTCAAAGGAAGGAAAGAGTGAAATTTTGAGATGGAAAAATATGTAGAAATAATTTTTTGAACTTTATTTTTGGTAGTACTGGTGACTGAACACACACATGCTAGGAAAGTGCTGAACCACTGAGTTATCCCCCTCTACAAACCTTTTCAAAATTTTTATTTTGAGACAAGGGTCTCCTTAAGTTGCTGGGGCTGGCCTTGAACTTGGAAACCTCCTTCCTCAGCCTCTTGAGTAGCTGGATTATAGGTGTGCGCAACCACTCTCAGCTTTATTTTGGTTTTATTTTATTTTTCAGTGTGCCATTAGGACCACAGAAACTGAGAAAATGTGGGAAGGAGACTCCATGAAAGAACATTGTCAGATTAAGAATTGTATCTCATTTCTTAGGGTTCATATGGTATATATCAGGTGATCTGAGGTTCTGTAAGTTTTGCACATGAGCTCAGAATTTTAGTGACTGATTTCAAGGCTTGAAATGAATGGTGCCAGCATCTTGACTGAGCCCAGGCCTTCTGGTATTCTCAGTATGTTGTGAGCTGCCTGTAGGGACATCTGTTTATCAGGTCATGTGGGCTTCAGATTCTGCACTGGGCAACTCCTGTTAGAGGACATTGATTACCCATAAGGATAAATACAAAGTTGTTGCTGTTGATCTTTGTGATTATATTGTCATTTACATTTTGCAAAGAAGGTGGAAAGTAAGGATGTTGAGATGAACATGTGATAAAAATATAATGCATTATGGAAACATTCTAATTATATGAATTGATAATTTTCTTCTTGTTGGCTCTGATATGTTCAGTCTTGTGCCTTTTCTTTTGAACTGGGCATGTACTTAGTATTCGTCTTTGAAACATACAGTCATTGAAAAGTCACTTGAAAAGTAAGAATATTGAGCTTCTTACGGAAATGTCATTATGTGCTGATCCAGCACAGAACGAAACAAAGGCACCAGTGAAATCACTTTCAATGAACAAGTACTTTGTGCTTTATTAAGTTTTCTGTCCAAGAAGATTAGAAAGGGTATATTTGTGATAGCATCAGGAACTCAGAAAAGAGAGCCCTGTTTCTCAGTTTTAGGTTATTATATTCTATTTTTCTGTCCCCATCACCTTTTCTAGTAATTTTATTTAACCTTTATTTTGGATATGGCCCTAGATATATACATAACCATCGCTTCCCTTTCCTCCCTTTTTTCCCCCCTACAGAAAGATGTAGCACTTAAGCCTCAGGAACGTGTGGAGAAACGCCAGACTCCCTTGACCAAGAAGAAACGAGAAGCACTTACCAATGGCTTATCTTTTCATTCAAAGAAGAGCAGACTCAGCCACCCACACCACTACAGCTCAGACCGAGAAAATGACCGTAATCTCTGCCAGCACCTTGGGAAGAGAAAGAAAATGCCGAAGGGACTCAGACAGGTGAGAAAACTTGGATTTATTTTATTCTGTGAACTTCTATAGATGCCTACTTCTCTGTGGTTCTTCGCACAGGTGGAGAAGTTATCCTTGGTGGCATCCTGTAACTGCTTGCAGAGCTGTATGCTTGCTTCCAAAGGATTATAATCCCAATCTCATTTTTTTTTTTTTTAGTTAGAATTGGTAACTTTGGCTTGGTACCCTTTCCATTGAATACTGTCTATGCAGCAAAGCTTGATGTGTTTAGGGCAGACTGGTGTTTAAGGCAGACTGAAGTCTTGGCAGTTGTCAAGATAGACTGGTGTGTAGGGAAAAGAACCTTGAAATTAGGACAAAAGGGATAGGGAAATTTAGTAACATACATTGTGTATTTCATGGATCCAAGGTACTAAAATTGGTTCTTTGAGTAGTGCTTTGCATAAGATTGACATTTTCCAGGGAAGCTCAAGTATTGTGGCATGTGGGAGAGCAGTGACAAAGAAAGGGACTGCCTTCTAGTGCCTTAATTGTTTTCCATAGTCCATAATTGAAGACAGTCTTTGTGATCTGCCAATTGAATACAAGTCAGTAATGGGGCTCCTTGGCCTGTTAATTAGGTTTCAGTGATCCACAGGCAAATATTGCTCTTGGCATTTGGGGAGAATTTTTGCCTGTGAAATCTGTACATGTGATTGATTGATAAAGAGAGATGAAGTTGTTTGTAACAATTTTTTTTTTCCCTGCAGAAACCCGGAGGCTTTAGTGACTGTAGAGTTACCTGTGTCCTGGGTATGTTTTGTTTTTGGTGAAACCATTGGGTGGGATTGACTATTACTTGAAGGAAGCAGGGGAAGGAATTGTGGTTCACAGAGCAGGTGCTGTTAATTAGAAGCTGAACAGGTAATTTCTAGTTGCAGGTGTTTCTTTGCAGAGGGGAAAGATCTGCAATCATATAAAACAGTGGTTTCAAAACCCACAGACCATTATAATCACATCGTTAGCCCCACTAAAGATAATTTTTTGCCTTCTCCCTAGGATCTAATGAAGTTTTTTTTAAAACATATTTTTAATTGTAAATGGACACAATATCTATGTTTTATGTATGTTTGTATGTATGTGTGTGGTGCTGAGGATCAGTCCCAGTACCTCACACATGCAAGGCAAGCGCTCAACCACTGAGCTACAACCCCAGCCCATAATGTAGATTTTAGCTTAAGAAATTTCTGTTTGATAATGATCAGACTGGTTTGGAAGTTATGTTACAAAGCATCTAGAGTGTATTTTGCATGATGAATTTTAGCTTAAAGATCAGAAGGCTCAGAAGCCTCAAGAAAAGGTAATGAGCAGTTTGATGTCAGAGTTCAGCTTGTGAATAATAAAGGATAGTATACTAAGAACCATCTGGAGTGATGGGTTCAGCATGGACTCCAAAAGCTTCTTGCATGTAATGCCCTTCAGTCTGACACTCAGGGTGGTGTTTCTGAGGGCTAACATAAATACCCCAATTGAAGTTATAATGGTAATTTACTAACTATAGTCACATACAGTTCTATAATAATTATGCTGTAGACATTCAGTGAGGTAGTTTGCATAGTATAACCTGTAATTCATACATCAACCTTGCCTAGTAGGAAATTATGGTTACCCTGCTGATGTGGAAACTCATACTTGATCAAATGGCTTGTCTGAGGCCATCTGGCAGTGAGGTTCAGCACAATGATTTAGATCCAAATCTTTTCAGCCAAGAGCCTCTGCTTTCCCCCTATACCTTCTCTTTGGGTATGCAGAAAAAGCACAGCAGGTCAGAGGATGGGAGGGGTTTACAAATATTTCTAGAAACTAAATGATAGTATGGTCAAACAGACTTTGACTTTGGCCATCAAAATGGTCTTTGAAGGTAAAAGAAAAATCAGAATAAGCTATGAAATTCAGAGGGTAGATCAAGAGCTGGAGAGTCGAAAGTAACCAAATTTGGATTAAGATTTTTTAATAAGGAGGAAGGGAGAGGGATGCGAAAGTCAAAATAGAGCTTGCACAGGTTATCTCCTTAAGGAGCTTTAGTCTCTCATTTAGAGACTAAATTCATTATCACAATGAAACAGCTGAGGAACACAAGAGTGATTTGTTGCCACATCTACTGGCCAAATTATGACTTCTGAGAAGAATTTTGGGAAAACATAATTAATCCTTCCCAGAACACTGAGTAAAGTAAAAAAAAATGTCAATATATCTGTCATTGAGACCACAAGGAATGCTTTAAAAATTTAGTATTTTATATTTTAAAATACAGAGAATGCAAAAGGGTTTCAAAAATAGAGCAGCAATGATAAAAAGTTGATGAGAGTTCACATAATTTTCAGGTTTGGCTCCAATTAGATATCCTAAATCTCGGTTTAATTTATTAGATTTTCCTTTCTCTCTGGTTTGAACTGAACCAGAGGAAATAGACCGAAGTGACCTACAAGTCACTTTTAGGATATATTAACTTTTTAAACAGACATCAGGATGTATCATCAAAATAAATCGAGGCTTTCTCCTTAACTGAGATTTAGGTGCCCCAAAATCATTAAGAGCAGAATTTTGCAGAAAAGAGATAACCTATTGAGATGGCTTCTAGTTGTAGGCAAACACTATTCAGGGGGAAAATAAAGGAATTTGGGAATATGTTACCAGTTTAGCAGGTAGACGCTGATCTTGCTGATAAAGATGGTTTATGCTTTATATGACTTAGAAAGCTTTATATAAGTTACTGTATATAGACAATACTTATAAGAAATGGAAATTTGCTTCTCTTTGAAAATCCAGTATAGTCGAGCCAAATTTGGTGGAACATTTATAGTTGACCAAAAATGTCTGCTGATTTCTAGGAAAAAAAGTCATGGATTCCAGTGCAGTCTTTAAAATTAAAGCTGTTACTCATTCATTTCGGTTAATTAATAATAAAGTTAGAGCTGTCCTTGGTGGGTTCATTTTCTTTCTGTACTAGCATTGCACATTGGATGTATTTGGCATAAATGGTGGTGTTGGTGTATGAGGGCTCAGGTCACTAAGCCACCATCTATCTTTCCAACCAGCCTGATGAAGCAGTATTTCCCAGTCTGAGTTCTTTCCTATTTCAGTTTTTTGGTACCAGTGATTGGTTCTTTAATTTTTTTTTAATCTTTATTTTGCTTATTCATTTTTATGTGGTGCTGAGGATCGAACCCCGTGCCTCACATGTGCAAGGCAAGTGCTCTGCCATGGAGCCACAACCCCAGCCCCTGGTTCTGTATTTTAGAGAGACTTATTCATGATGCCTTGGGAACTCTCTGTGACATTTGTTATTAGAGAAAGTTATCTTGCAAAGGAAGATTTGTAATGGAAAACTTTGATTAAACAGATCCAGTTCAAGTCACATTTTTGAAAACCTGCTATAATTAGTTTTGAGTGAAAATACAGGCCCAAAATCACCCAGGTATTTATCCAGCTTGACTCTAGAGCCTACAAGCTTCTGGAAGTCAGAACATTTGAAAAATGAATGTAATTTGTGATATGCTTTCATAATGAAAACATATGAACTTTGCTGTGTTCTTTCATAATGGTTAAATGCCTGAAGGTACCTTGAACTAGTATCAAGAAATGTGAGCCACAGTTAAACCATTTTTACCTCATACTTCAGAATTTCAAGTTTAATATGTTAATTGTTTCAAGTTTAATTGCTTTTCAAAAATCATGCTGTCATGTGAAGGTCACTAACTACGATATCTAATAAAATTGTTTTTCCTCTGTGAATTTAAGTTACAGTTTACTTTTTTCTCTTTGTTAAATTATAAGAATTAAAAGTAAGGAAAGATTGAGAGAATAAAAAATAGGTTTACAGTATCTCTGGGAATTTTGATTGACTTGAATATGATGCTGACTTTCAGCGTTTAGTTATTGAGGATTTTTAATCCAGGCTTGTGTATGTTCAGGAGTTAGTTGTGTGTTATACTGGAGGAGTGGCTTTTTTTTTTTTTTTTGAGATGGGGAGTCTCACTATGATGCCTTGTCTGATCTTAAACTCTTTTTCTTAAGTGATCTTCCCACCTCACTCAGCCTCCTCAATGCTGGAACTACCAGTGTGCTCCACCCCCACCGGTAAAGGGTTTTTTTTTTTTGTTTTTTGTTTTAATTTGGGTTATTTGGAAGCAGTGACCACTGTTTTGTATTCTGGAATTTTTGGCTTTTTCATTATCTAGGGTATATTATGTGAATCCTAAATGTTAAAGCAAGTGTAAATATCACATGACTTCAGTGAGACAGATCTTCAGAGTGGTGTGGCCAATAATAATTATATCTCAAGTGCATTTTGTAATTTTTAATTAAAATTTTTGGAAAGTGGCTCTATTAAGGGTAGATAGCTGTGTGGCTAGGTCTAAGGCGGGCTTTTGTCCCCATTGGGCTGCTGGAGTGGAACACAGTACCATCTACCTCCCAGGAAGGCTCCAGTAAGGAGCTGGAGGTAAAGCATGTGGAGGTGGAGGCCAAGACTCCAGTCTTAACTGCTGTGTGTGTAATTGAGAGTCCTGGTGGAGTTGGCAGGGAAGCCACTGCTTCAGAGACACCTGGCTAGTGAATTGTGCCTTGGGAAAGAGCTCCAACATGCCTTTGTGCAAGGAGACCCTGACCCCAAAGCAGTGGGCCTGTGAGTGGCAGGAATAAGAGGTCCAGACCTACACATTCATTCAGTTATAAAACCCTCCAAAAATAATTATGAACAGTGTCTAAAAGGGGGTTATGTCATATTTCTGCCACCTCCTCAAATAGAAACTACAGAAAAAAAAAAGAGTTTGAGAGAAGGAACTGCAATTATAAGAGTGGGTGCTAACTCTTATAATTGTGAGTTATGAAACAATTACTATAGGTAATTGTTTCATAAAACAGTGAATTTTTGAGTTTCCCAAAGTAAGAATTTGAGATGTATGTTCAAAACTTTATTAAGGGTAATTTAGATTCTGTATAGTGTTTGAGAAATAGGAAAAAGAAAGCCACAGAAATGATTCTTA